ATGAAATAATCGCATTTCAAGCAGGGGCGTAATTTTTGATGATGGGTTAGAGAGCAGCGGAAAATTATGCAATGTACCTGTATTTGAATTACGATTCGGATACTAAATTCGCAACAACACCCAGCACTTGCTCAGTACAGATTTAACCCCCGACCTCAACCGGCCGTCGCTACCTGCGGCCCCTCCGGTCCGCGCACGTGACTTCAGCCAGGTCACGGGGGCAATGGCGCGGAGGCACAAACGCAGCCGGCCGCGCCGGTTAACCGCTGACCAGGCCGGCTGAAAGCCGGTCCTGGAACCCGTTGTCAAAAGGCCTACTACACATGACTCTATTAATGTAAGAAGTGCTGGCCCGCCGTGCGCCAGCGCGGCCGCACAACACAGTACCCCCAAAATATGGATGTCTCCCAGATTAGCACACTTCCTCGCACTTAGGAAGGGGGGGGGGGAGCCCTGAACTGAATAAGAAGTAGGAACGTCTCTGATTTGAAGATCTATGTGACTGGTAACCATTCTCAACCAGGCCAAGCACAAAAATGGCATAGATTGGTATTTCAGAACTATCGTCACCTCCAGTTATTCTCTTAATGAGGAGTGCCATCAGCCTTCAACATCGAACCCACGGCACTTCGAAATGGAGGCAGCCTGGTCGCTTGTGATTTCTTCGTTGAGCCAACAGCTTTTTCGGTGTCTTGAAAAGGTGGTTTGGATAGCCAAAGGTCAATTTCTACCGTGATCGGATCATCCCGCTGGCTTACCCTGAGCTGTCAATACCTCTCATCGCTGAAGACAGGATGCTAAATCTCGGCACAGCCCATGAAACAAACAAGGCTAGAAATTAAAGCCTAGGCAGGTATTCATGACATTACAATGCGGATGCCACTTGCAAAGTTGGACTGCATTAAAAGTCACCGCCCACCTCATGTCAGTCGCATCGCAACAATTAAAACAAGCCCTTGCGGCCATATGAATCCCCATGTCTAGATATTTTTCAGTACCTTATACTGTCTAGTTTGGGACACTGAGAGTCGGGTGGCAACAGCAGAGAATCGGCCGATCGGCCGGGCCATTGGAAATACACTGGTTTGTCGCCGACCTGTCACCGAGCCAATCATAGGATATTTTTGTCGCTGGGCTGGAATGAAGCCTAGAAAGATCCCAGGACGCCGTGGAGTACGGTAAAGAGTTTTTGCAGAAACGTCTGCTTGTGTCATGTGTCGGAGCTTATTACCATGGAGGCACAATATCTATGTATGGAGACCTCGCGTCATGTTGTGCATAGTGTGCTGTATTTTTTCGTCTTGGCCGTCACCACAGTTTGCTGTCAAAACACATTTTTGGCACCAAGCTTCGCGTAAATGTGAATTTTTGTCGCCGACCTTGTCCGCTAGGTCGGCAGATTTTGCCACCCCTGAGGGCTACATTGTTACAGGCATCGCTTACGGCATCATTTGCAGTAAACATTCAAACCGATTCAAACATCACTTGCTTCGCCTTCAATGCCGCGAAATATTTGACGCTTGAAATGTCTTGGCTGTTGCTTCCTTTATGTGAAGGCTAAGGCTATGATGACATTTTTTAATGAGACTGACTATGAGGGAACTGACCGGTTACCCGGCCACGGCCGCAACATGACCAGCTACGGAGACTACAAACTGTTACAGTTACGGAGCCTTCTGTGGCGACAGCGACTTCGGGGTCTATTGTGAGCATGGTTGTCCACCAGGAACCTGCGACGCAGCAGACAGCTCTGGAGGTTGCGGTAGATACGAGATATATTCTGCTTCCCCCCCCCCCCCCCCCTCAGAGTATATGGCGGACGCAGCGGGGTTAATGACAAATACTTTTCAACAATTTATTAACGGGAACGACCCTAAGTCAATTTGCTGACGACTCTCAACGTCGTATTTCTGTTACGAGTGCATTCAAAGTCAATTGTTGAGCCCCGTCTAAGCCCACCTGTTTGATGTGAAGCTCCCTCACGGTTAGATTAAAGAAAACATTATATTTCAAATTGAGATTTTTTCAATAAACTGAGCTATGTGCCCTTGTATTTTTCACTATCCGGTCTGTTTAGATTAAAACAAGCGCGTGTTGCTGTAGCTTGCTGTGCTTGAAGCCGGCTTCGGAAAAAGGAGCGTTGCCGGCTCCCCAGCTAATTTCTGACGCACCGACGGGTGGCGCACCTACCGGCTGCGATTGCTTGGAAATTTGTAAGTAGTGCGTCTGCTTGCGCTTTCATCAGCCGTTAGCTGGTTACTGCTGCCTTAGCGGCTGTACCTGATCTGGTTGGCGGGTTATGAAAATGCAATGCAAATGAATTCAATGAAACTAAGATAAGAATGAAATAAAAGGTAATAAACATAAAAAGCAACGACCTAATTAACACATTCAAAACGAAAAGTGTGTCCCCGCAGTGCTCGCGTGACTGCGCATGATCGTGTGCACGCATCGGCCTGCTGCCTTTTGACAGCTGCCCTTTGCTGGGACAGCTGACCTTTCCACTGACAGCTGTCCTCTGTTTCGAGCATGCAGCCGTCAAAACAAGAGTGTTAGCAATCGAAATTTTCTCCGTAAGCGGTACATACGTTGGGCAACTGCCTTCAAAAACAAGCAGCAGTCGGACATTAGTGTCACTGTGCAATGCAGACGGCGCCACAGTGATTCATACGCCACGATACCGATGCCTCACCTGCCGTCACAAAGGCACATTTCTTGCCAAAATATGATTACGTGGCTTTAACTCTGGATGGCTGGGGTGTTACAGAGTCAAGGCAACGCGCTCTAAGCTAAAGTGTGCTTTGCGGTAAAATGTTCGTAGACATGACAATAAAATGACACTTCTTTGTCTGACTGAACGTGTCAGATTAACTGTAATAAATAACCTAAAATGAAAGTAATGCCATACGTTGCAGAGTTCGTAAAATAAATACGAGCTTTTTTCTTTCCAACGACCAGACTGGAATGGCATAGAACAGGGTATCGACAAACTAAACAACGTAAATCGTTGGACAGGGGCTGAAAGCCACCACACGGTTCTCGCGACAGCCACGTTTCCGAAGTGCAGTTAGCGAGCGGGGCGAGCGGCGCAGCATCAAGCGATCAGAGGTGAACAACAAGAGGGATCGAACACAGGCTCGAACATTTGTAGTCTCCCTTGGATTTTTCTTGGAAATAGCGATTTGGGTTCTTTGTTGTGTCTCCTGGAATTGCGAGGCTCTTGAAAGTAAAGATCATGATTCCATGAAAAAGGTTTTGGTGCCCCCTCACCGAGGGGGCTCAAGGGGCTAGTACGTCGTTCCGCAATTATGGTTTTGGTGCCTCTTCGCCATGACATTTTGGTGCTGGTTTGGGACAACAAAACCTCTTGGAGGGCCAGTAAGATGGCATGAACCCATGGCCCCTTCTGGATCCGTCCTGGTAGTGGGTGGGCATTGGCATAGGCGGCGAGTAAATTGGGGACCGGAAATCTTACCCGTGAAAACCTCTCCCTGGCCGCCATACAGTTACAGCAGTAGATTGGGTCGCGGTTTTGAATATTTTTTATTGCGTGCTGTAACGTAGTCGTGCTCAGCCTTTACAATCGACTCATTACTGACGGTACATTTCGTGCCGTCTTTTTTCATCGCTTAATGCCATGAGCTGTGGGTGCTCTTCGAAGGTCAGATAGCCAACATGGTCGCCTATAGCTGACGTCCTGGCATTTACCAGGCATTTTTGGATGTTGAATCGGTGTGTTGTTGACGGAGTTTTGCGAAACCGCGCTGCTTATCCCTAGTGGCATGAGGCCTTTACCGTGACCTTCAGCAGCCTGGCAGCAAGAGTGCACGTGCTTGTCGCCATGGCGAGCATGTGACCGTCTTCATATTTTGATTTCGTTCTTTCATGATGACTAAATGCGTGACAGCGTGTTTTCCTTAACTATCTGAGGGCTATATGTTGACCATTAAAGGTCAGGTTACCAAAGGTGAATATACCAAACAAATCGCGGTCATGGCGAAAAAGTGACAGTTCCAGGTTTAAATTCGATTCGTTGTTTGACTGGGTAATGTGTGTCCGCGTTTGTTGCACTCTGATGGCCTGGATACTACCTGGTGACGTGTCCAGGTCAGGTGTCATATACTAACATACTATCAGAGGTCAGACGTGCATATACTTGACTTCGTGGCGAGCATGTGGCGATGTTCATATTTTTGTTCCAAGCACTAATGACGGACATCTGAAGCTTTAATGACACGTGACCGTTTTTTATACACACGAGTCTGAATCCGGACGTGCATACGTTGCTAATTACACGCAGATTGCGATGAGTGCGTGCCCGGTGCATTCATATACATAAGTGCGTCACACAAACCTCGTTAATACGTATCAAGACATGCGCACCAACCGGATCGGAATGTGAGGAAGCAAAGTGTACGCACGGGAGCTTGAGTCGGTACAGGGGGCAGACGTCGGCCCAACGGGCTACATTACGCGAGACGCATCTGCATTCCTCCGCTAGCGTGGCCATCGCGCGTTGCATTAGACTGCTGCCGACGCTCAGGGAGTCGGTTTCACTCGGCCCCGGAGGTCACCGGCATATCGGGGTGTTCCCATGTCTTGAATGCATATCGGTCCTCCTAGTGTGTGCTGAGCCTAGTATCCTCTGTGTGCATCATTCGTGCGCCTAGTTGCAGTTGTAAATGGAACTTTATCAATGCAGTTAGAGACGCAACTGACCATCGTGATTCGATTTTCTCCATGCGGTGCCATAGCCTTGCGAATTCTGCGAAATGTTGAAATACAGGCTGCATCCTCCGGAAACAATGACGTTTTGCTCGTGGTTGCAACATAACGCAGCAATAACGCTGTCCCCGTGGACACGATCCTGGTCGATCCGTGTCCCATCTTGTCTGCAGCGTCACCGTGTTCACCGCATACTGGCTGCGGGCACCGCACACTGGGATCGGGAGTCTGCGGTTACCGGGGATGGGCTGCACCTGCGGGGTCGGACGGTGAAGTCAGGACTGAACCTCGATGATCCTGTCGGCTGGACCGGACGCAGGGCGCCGTCTGAGCGCCGCTGCGCACCAGCGGAGGCCGGCCGCCAGCAGGTCGACCAGGGACAGCACGGAGACGCCCAGCAGCAGACTGATGTAGCCGCCCATCCCGCTGACCAGGCTGACCAGTGGGTACGAGCGACGCTCCGTCGCCACCTCTTCTGGGACCTGAGAGGCTACGACATTTATGACCGAGAGTTCGCTGTATGCTCTGATTGCATCTTTGAAGTTGAGGTCCACGATGTAGCGTTGACGCTTGCAGGCTGGTAGACAACGACAGCGTTCCAGGTGTCTTGGGAAGTCTATTGGCGCATGCAGGTGCTTCTGGGAGCATTCCGGCAGATGAGGGAACTCCTCCAGCATATCCGGTGCTGAGCAGTCCAGCTTGTTCGCCCAGAGTGTGTGGTAGCATTTCAGCACACAGATCCCGTAGTCGTAGCCAGGTGCCGATCTGCACCTTTTGCGATTCAGGCTTTCCCTGTCGTGGATACGTGAGGACACAATAACATTGACGAGTTGGTTGGTGCGTAGTGCAAACAACCGATCAGTATCCAGCGCTTTAATTCCAAGGTTACTGATCATCGGGCGCCGTCTTGAGTGGAGGCCTACGAGGTGATCCCACGGGTTAGAAGTGTTCGCTCTCCCTTTGACTTTTATGATCATTCTCGCGCTTCCCATGTTTGTCACGCCAGTCAGCTGTCCCCAGGTGACGTTAGGGGTGAAGGTGTGGCACAAGACTGACAGGTCTGGCATGACCCAGGAGCGCCAGGTCCCGGCTTGGACGGGAACGCGACCTCCCGGGTAGCTGATGTTGACGTCTGTGTGGCAGCCGGGGTAGCAATGTGTCATTTGTGCGCCCAGGGGAACACTGGCGAGCCACAGTCTCTCAGCGATCGTGGCGTCCTTCATTCGGCTGATCTTCTCGCTATAAAGGTCGTGGGGATGGCCGCAGACAGTGACGCTGGGCATAGCAACGTCCTGTCGGGGCGTGTAGGAGAGCGTCATGGAGACGGGCTCGCTGAGGTACAGCTGCAGCAGCTGCAGGCACTGGTAGCCGGCCACCACGGCACAGCCGAGCACCAGCAGGCGGCGGACGCTGACCGCAGGAGTCGGTCGCCAGCACGCCGACCGGACCATGACATCGAGAGCCCTGCGTCCACTTCACCGCGACGTGCAGCACCGTACTGATCCGGTGGCCTCAGCGGCTTTGCGACCTTCCTGAGGTAGATGGATCATTGATTTGCGACACGATGCGTCGATAAGCGGCGTCTGTTGCAGCAAAAGCAACGCAGGCCGCGGGGGAAGCAAACGGTGAACACAATGCCAGCTGCGGTGCACACATTGCCGGCTGCGGTGGTGGTGTTTCAGCGTGCCTGCAGACGCGTCAATACGAGTCCGTGTAAAAGTGGAGGAACCTGTACTAACGTCTGTTTCGCATTGAAGCCCATTTGGTCAGGCATCGCATTCAGCGCTGCGCCATAAGTTGGCTGTAATGAATACACCATTCCCGCTGTCATGTTCAGTAACCGCGAGCGTAGGACAAAGGATGATAGACGTCCGAGCAAGCTGAAGACGCGTAGTAGGCCACTGAACCATGCTCGATGGTCGCCGTTAAACACGATGGCGTGCGCCGAATTCGTAAAAGTCGAGCGTCTGCGAAAATACCCCGGCAAGCACTACTTCGTTTGACACTGAGCTAGGTGAAAATATCGACAGGTGGTGCCGGCCTGCTTATTGCTCCTTCGCCTCCAAAAAACCATCTTTCATAGCTCAAGGGTGATGTAATGGTATCGTTGGCGTGATAACCAAATAGTACCAAAAATAATGCTGATGGGTGACGAGTGAATCGTGTAAACGAAGTCTTACCCGCAAAGACATCTTGCCTGGATGCTAGACAGTGGCCAGCGAATGCATGATATTTTAAAACATGTTGCCACGCAGTTAGTTCAGATTTATAATCAATTCATGACGGTTGGTGTATTGTGTGTCTGCGCTTTTTGGAATCTCTCAATGCCTTGGGCTATAGGTGACCTATGAAGCCCAGACAGCTAAAATGATTGGCTGTAGCTAGCGTCCTGGCAAGCACAAGGTATTTTTTTATATTGAATCAATGTCTTGTTGGCGGACTTATGCGCATCCGCGTTGCTTATCCCTATTGGCCTGAGGGCTTTACCGTGGTCATTGGAGGCCTGTGAGCAAAAGAGCACACGTTTGCCGCCATGGCGGGCGCGTGGCCGTTTCTTGTTCTGATTCCTTCCTTTCATGACGAAGTAATGCGTGACAGCCAGCCCCTAATTACCTGCAGGTTATATGGTGACCTTTAAAGGTCAGGGTGCTAAAGGTGTATATATATCTAACGAGTGGCAATTATGGCGGGAAAGTAGTCGTTTCAGACTCCGCTTGGATTCATTATTTGACAGAACAATGGGTGTGCACGTTTTTTACCTCTCATTGCCTGGAGACGACGTGGTGGCGTAGAGAGGCCAGGTGTCATCTGCTAGCATACTATCAGAGGTCAGGCGTGCATATGCTTGGCATCATGGCAAGCATGTAGCGATTTTCAGGGCGATGATCGCGTACCCGGTGCATTCATATACATAAGTACATCGCGAAAAGCCTCATTGATACGCATTAAGACATGCGCACCAGCCGAATCGGAATGTGAGGCGAAGTGTACAAACCGAAGCTTGGGTCGGTGCAGTTGACAAATGTCGGCCCGACAACCTGGCTTCACTCGGCTCCGGGGATCGCCGACATGCCGGCATGCTCCCTTGCCGTGAATGCACCTCCGTTCTTCTGATGTGTGCTGAGCCTTGTGTCCTCCGTGTGCATTAGTCAGGTGTGTAGTTGCAACCATAAACCGAACTTTACCAACACGCGCCCGGATGGCCGGTTGAATACCCTTCGCTCGGCTGGGGGGTCAATTTCACCCTCTGAGATCTCATAAGCTAAGGCAGCTAAGAACACTGAATTCACAGGGTGTGTTCGCATATACGTGAACTCTTGTGTCAAACTTGACGGCTCCTAGGTCATGACCTCTTAGTCAAATAAAGTAAAAAGGCCAAGCCCAAGGTTGGTGTCTATAGTGCCCCCCGAACACCTAGATGCCTGTTCTAAGCAAAAGACCACTGATGTTCATCTAGGATCAGTGACCTGGCTTGAAGTTTTGCATGTCATGCTGACCAAAATAATGCAAGACCGCTTTGAATTTTGCATTTGAATAAACGTCAAAACCACGCTAGGCAGCATGGTCCCAAAAACAGAATGCTGACCTGGGTCATTTTATAGACATTCAGTCGTTCAGTGACTTATTTTGACCTTCAAGATGCCCGTGGAAGATGCATGATGCGGTTTCTTTCATCAATAAATTGGAAATTAGCAACACAAACTACTGTTGTATGGACTGTTTGACCTCCCAAAAACGAGCACAATATCATTTAGGCGAAAGCCACAGGGAGGATAACTAGCAATGCACGAACGTGACAAGTATGATGAAGATCCTAGCTATTCAGTAAAAGTTACAAGAACATCGCTTCCTTTGGAGAGGCCAGCACCAGCAGGGAGCCTCTTGTACCGGCTCTGCATGCCAAAGTATATCCATTGCATCCTAGCAGCAAGCTCCAGTCAAATACTGGTATGCTTAGTTAATATTTGTAGTCACCAGCTTTTGCCTAGTCGCTTCACTCACAGTTTGTTCGACAAGCTAATGTTTGGTATACATACAGCGAAGACATTATGCCAAATGTCGCCAAGCGTGTTGAAAACCCCTTGTCTTGTAGATTTGGTTTACAGTGTATCATTCTTTCAAATGACCCAACGTGTTTCCTGCTGCCCTTATGCTGACCGGTAGAGCGAGTTCTTTGTTCTGTGGTGCACAAATAGCTTTCACAACTTCTCTTGGCACCCAATTTCTCTAACAGAGCGCTTTGTCAACGGCTCACGGCGTCGTCGAACAGAGGCGTTGTCAGAAGGCCGCATGGAGTGTCTATAAAAGTCAACCCCAGTGATATGTGTGTGTGGGGAAGGGGTATCAACCATTTTTGGATATTTCTTTCCCGTCAGTGCCCATAGGGCCACTGTGAAATGCTCAGTTTTGCGGGCTCTGCCGCTTCCGCAGAATCCTGCCTGACCCGCACCCGTGCGTGTGGACCCCCAGTATCCGTAGTGCAGGTACCTGCGACATGACTTACCACGTAACTGAAATTTATTACTCCTAATCAGCGAGTAAAAGTCCGGTTCTAGTGAAATGGAGTGATTCACCTTAGCATACGTCCCAAACAGTGATGGCTCCAGAATTCATTCCAATCAACCGTCTGGCGCGTTCCGTGTCAAGTTCAGTGTCCTTCTGCCGTCATCTCGCCGACTGGTCGTCGCCGCGCGCCCTGTTGCGCCTGTTGACTGCTGGCGGGTGTTGCGCGGACAGGTGACGCGACTGCGCCGCTGTCGGCGCCTGCTGACAGCCGATGCTACTTCAGCGGCGGCGGCGTGCGGCTGCGCACACACCACGCCCGAACGTCCGCCGCCCCTGCTCTGCTCTGCCAGCATGCGCCTGCTGCTGCCGTGCCTTTTGGCGGCGGTTGTGCTGACCCTCGCCGCGGCAGGCTCCTGCCCTCCCTGCACGGCGCAGCGCCGCCGCCAGTGTCTCAAGAGCAACCCCAGCTGGGTGCGGTGCATCCCCTGGGGCAGCGTCCCGGCCCGGTGCGGCTGCGGCTGCCGGGTCTGCGGCAGGGGACTCGGCAAGACTTGTGGCGGGCCACTCGACGTCAGGGGTAGGTGCGCGGCCGGCCTCAGGTGCCGCCGACGCTGGTGGCAGTGGAGCGGCAAGTGCGTACTGGCCAAAAAAGGCAGGAAGACCGCAGGGCGCTGCAGCACGTGAACCGTCCCCGTTGCAGATGTGTGGCGTGTTCCGGTTTGTGCTTCCACATCATGATGGGCCCTGGCTGACGCTTGCGAGAGCGGAATGTACCGCGGGTCAAGGTTGGAGGATCGGGCCTTCGAACGAAATGATTTGATGAGCAGATTGTAGGTATGCTACGTGAGAAGTATAGCGTCGGATCATTTCGCCATCTTTCTTTTGACGGTGGTGCGGTCTTTCCGTTGGGAATCGTCTGAAAAGCTTTGACTACAGAAAAAGGGCGACTGGGAAAATGGAGCGATTCAGGTGGTACTGCGACTGCCCGTGTCTGTTACTTTATTGTCGGTGGGTAATCTGATCCATAAATTGAAAATGTAGTCACCTGTTGTCAATCAATACTTCCCATAGTGTTGTCTTTTTCATTTTGTTTAAACTCACTACGCCCACCCCTCGTGGTGCGTAGCACTGTGAATATCACTGGCTACGTTTCACTGACTGTACGACGTGGAGTTTCAAAATAAATTCTGAATACCATCGCACTCCGAAGTTATGCCTTGTGGTGGTGCACTGTTCGGCAGGCGACATTTGTAGCGTCAACCGTCTTGTTGAGAGTAGCAAAACATCGCGCTTTTAGTTTGAAAAGCAACATGAGAGTGTCTGGTTCCCGGGCACGTTCCTATTCGTGACGTGCACACTTCCATTGTATCCTTGTCTTGCGCCCCATTGCATATTATTCATGGCCGCATATTCCGCAGCTGCTCCCGCCTATCTTTGCGAGCGCCGTCCCTATGTAAAAAATATACTCGAAAGTATAACGAAACCGAAAACTGGCGGATCGAAACAGACGTGAAAAACAAAAAGCAGTTTGAAGTTGGATTAATGCCATTTATCTCTACGTAATGCCGTGTTTGGGCATAATAGGCTAAATTCAAGGCCGTGCGTCCTGCGACCACTTGAGAGCCCAAAGCAAAACATAAGCCTCACTCATTTACTTAACAAAACATAACAAACAATCCAAAGAATATAACACCAACAGTGCCGCGTCATAACCCTCGAACATCTGCACCTGCTGCAGGCGGCATGCACCCATGTCTCGAGAAGAGCCATCTGTGGAACAAAATGTTGATTTGCATTTGTTTGCATCGTGAAACATCAGATCACGGTGTTCCGAACGGTAAGCACATAACCTGGGACTACTGATTCATTTCATATCCTTTTAGCTACCTTTAGACCAGAAACGACCAACCGTAATAAGTACAGGACGTAATAACTTGAACCAACCTATACGAATTCAACTTGCGGTGCCGTCAGTGAAACCTATAAGGGGTAGCGGCCTTCAGGTATGTACTAACTCTAATGTCATGAAACGCCCTGCGGATTGAAAATTGTTGTCGTTGGGGGCTTTACGGCACCGTCAGCTGCTAACGCCCTTTGTCGTCGCCTGTCTCTAATTGAAGCACGTGCACTGCGGGGAAGGATACCCCGTGCCTCCGGTTTCCCAGACACGCAGCTTGGCTACCACCCTATCGACAACCCAGGATAAAAACTTGCAAAAATACCGTGGTTAAGATCAGATTGCGTATCGAAATTAACGTCTCCAGATGGATTAGACAGACAGAAGGCTTAAATTTCTGCTCAAGACATTCACGCTCGTATGATCGTTGAGCCTTACTATCTTTGCAATTGCAAGCTAAACTTAATTCTAACATGATGCACAGACAAATGCTGTGGCGGAAAATACAGTTACTGTGAGGAAATGTACAAAACTGGGATTGATATTCGTGTACCGCCGATATGAGGGGAGGGGAAATTTTAAATTGTTGGATTGGAATCGACTAAATCCTGATATTGTAAATCAATGGATAGCTATTTGGTGTCCATAATGAATACGTCAATTTCAAAGCATGCGCAGCCAGAAATCGCATAATGATAACAATTGTTCACCTACAGCTTGGGGCTTTCCGCTGCCTGGGCTGATCACATGTCTCGAAGAAGTATACACTACAAATACAACGCATCATCGAGATAACATAACCGCATAACAAATAAAGTAACGATGAAACGACTGAATGAAAAAGTGTCAGTTACGCAGACCTCTTAGGAAAGGGTGGCTGAGTACGGCACCGCCCAGCGGGGTGACACCTGGTCCCCAACGGGGCCGCAGATGGCCCCCAGCGGAGCGTCCCGCGTTCCGGCCGTTACTGCCGGGTTCAAAGGTGACCGGCCGAGGCGCGGCGGAGATGACAGCCAGCACCAGGCCACCCCGGCCGGCCGGCAGCCGCCCGGAGACCAGCAGCAGCCGGCGCCGGCGCGACGGTCCTCCGGTCTGCCCGCCGAACCGCACCCGGCCTGCGGTCACACTGCCGACCAGGTCAGAGCCTGGTCAGTTGTCAGGGTCAGGTCAGGTATCAGGGTCAGGTCAGGCGTCAATATCAGGTCAGGCATCAGGGTTAGGTCAAGCGTCAGGGTCATGTCAGGGTCAGGTCTGCGTCAAGGCAGGTGGGGCGTTTGGGCTAGATCGGGGTGAGGGCCAGGTCAGGCGTCAGAGTCAGGTCAGACGTCAAGGCCAGGTCACGGTCTTGGTCACGGTCAGGGTCAGGTGTCAGGGTCAGATCAGCTGTCGGGACAGGTCGGGCGTCCGGGCTAGGTCGGGCGTCAAGGTCAGGTCAGGTGTCCGAACCAGGTCAGACGTTAGGGTCAGGTCAGGCATCAGGACCGGGTCGGGCGTCAGGGCTAGGTCAGGCGTCAGGGTCAGGTCAGACGTCAAGGCCAGGTCAGGCGTGAGGGCCAGGTCAGGCCTCAGAGCAAGGTCAGGTGTCCGAGCCAGGTCAGGCGTCGGGGCCAGGTCAGACGTCAGGGCAAGGTCAGGTGTTCGAGCCAGGTCAGATGTCAGGGCCATGTCAGGCGTCAGAGCCAGGTCAGGCGTCAGGGCCAGGTCAGGCGTCAGGGCCAGGTCAGGCGTCAGAGCAAGGTCAGGTGTCCGAGCCAGGTCAGATCTCAGGGCTAGGTCAGGTGTCAGGGTCAGGTCAGGGTCAGGTCCGGCGTCAGGGTCAGGTCAGGGCCAGGTCCGGCGTCAGGGCCAGGCCAGGAGACGGCCAGCCAGGCGGAGCGTCGCCGTCACTGGCCGTCACCGAGCCGCGGCAGGCCGCGGTGCGCGGAGGCGGTAGCCGGCCGGCTGAGCTCTGACAGGGGGCTCAGCCGGTGGCCGGTGGGTCAGTCAGTCGGTCGGCCGGTGGCCGGTAGTGGGTCAGTCGGTGGGCCGGTGGCCGGTGGCCGGTGCGTCAGTCAGTGGCCGGTGGCCGGTGGTGGGTCAGTCGGTGGGTGCACCGTGCCGCCAGCTTTGTCCGTTTCGTCTGCTATCGAGAAGATCTGTCTGTGGTCCCGGCGTCCGTCGCCAGCGGTCCTTCGGCTCTACCACGTCGCCACGAACCACCGCGCTTCAAGTGTATCTCGTCGTCAGTCGTCCTCACGCTTGACTGCGCCTTCCGCATGCCTCAATCGCGCCAGCGACTCCACCCGCCACCACGCAACCCATCGCGCAGACCGCTCGCGCCGCGGCCTCCGACGACAGCGCTGCTGTCGCTCGGCGCCCGACTACGGCGTCCGCTCGGGCAGGCCCGGCTCCTCGCGCCGCCGCCGCCGGCCGAGCAGCAGCAGCGCGTTGGGCCGGCCGGCCGCCGCCGGCTGGTGGGGGTCGTTCGCTCGTGTGGAGCTGTACAGCGGTAGCCGCGCGTAGCTGGCCGACTCGAACGAGTCGCGCCCCGCCTTGTACAGGAACGAGTTGAACTGCAAACGGTCGGTGCAGAGTTACGAGTCATTCAGTAGCAATGCGTCATGCATACGGTAGTTGAGCGCCCCGTTCCAAATCTTGCCGCATGTGCTCTTTTCATGTGTGACCGTGGTTCAGGAAATAGTTTAAACATAAGGTGCATACTCAGTAGTTATAAATCGGAAGTGTTTTCAGACGTCCCCTCATGGCCGTTTGCATTTGCCCATTCATGATAGTGGGAAATGCTCTCGATGAAAACGACTTAGAATTAGACGAATTGGCGAGACGAATTACATAAACATAAAATGTGAATACCGCTCTGTCAAATTACACGGGAGTGTCCAAGGTCCCAAATGGTAATTACTTTGCCATGGGTGCCATCCTTGGTTACCTCACCTGGAACAGGTTGTGCAGGGCTTTGTTTGCCTTGTCCTGATCGGCGGACGTGACGTTACCCAGGAAACGGAGCGACGCCATCAGTGGACTGGTGCATGGAGAGACGCATAGTTAGCGGTCGTCACGTTGGGGGACTGTGCGGAGTCATCGCAGCCATATGAGGGGACTGGGGCACGGAAGAGAGCGTAGTTAGCGGTGGTCACATCGGGGGACTGTGTGGAATCATCGCAGCCATATCAAGGGACTAGTACACAGAGTGACGGGTAGTTGGTGGTGGTCACATCGGGAACTGTGCGGAGTCATCGCAGCCATATCAGAGGACTGAGATGCGGAGGGATGTCTCGTTAGCGGCAGCTACAGGAGAGGGGAGACTAAGATTGTATCCCCTGTACAGGAGATGGTGTCTCGTTACGGAGAGACTGCTGCAGGGGCGCAGGTTCGCAAGATAATCAGAGGAGACAGAGCGGCGAGGGTGACTATTCTGATGACTTGCTGTAACAATCAGATGTCAGGGAGCTAGGGCTCAGATATCCGCCTATTTTGTGTCATGTGTCAGCCACGTCAGACTATACTGAGGTATGTACCAAGAGAGGTCTAGTTACTAGCTAGTGCAGCCACATCATGAAACTAAGACACCGAAGGATACCTAGCGACGGCCGTCGACAATAAGCACAGCTAGCAGTCCATACGATATAGCATTGCATTAGTTAATACTTATGACGAAACGAATGAAGCACTCCTAGTAAGATTAAATAAGCTTTTTTTATCGCAAATTATTGGCGTCATGTCAGACATCAACACAACCATTTCACGAAACGCCGCGCCACTGAATGGTCTATGTTTTACCTTAAACTGTCGCGTAACATCAATGTTATACTGATACAAGGGTTCCCTGCACCGTGCTATCCCTCTGATACGATTTCTCCTTACCAGCCCAGCACAAAGTCGGCCATATCGGCGCCGATGTAGGATATCTGAGTGACGGTGTCCATCTGGATGGGCGGTATCTCGGTGGCCAGAGAGCGGGTGGCGTATCGGCTCTCGTAGAAGTTGACCCGGTATACCAGCGGTCCCAGCAGCCAGCGGCCACGCACCTGTCCGGTCATGTGTCCTATGTGTCAATGTCGGGCCAGCTCAGGTCAGGTCTGAGCTGGTCTGGTCAGGTCAGGCCTGACCCAATCTGGTTAGGCATGATCTGGTTGGGAAGGTCAGGTCAGGTCAGGTCAGGTTGGGTAGGAAAAGTTCGGAAGGGCTAGACCGGCCATGCCAAGTTCGGTTTGCACTGCTCTGGTCGGGTCTAGTCAGGTGAAGTAGGTCAGGTCATGTCAAGTCAGCTTTGGATTGGTCCAGTCTGGCCAGGTCGGGTCAGGTCACGTGAGTCTGGAGGCATTCGTCTTGTCACGAATGTTTCCACGTGGAGCAAAGGTTGATCACGTGTAAACATCACCAACTGGTGTGGACTTAACTCAGTCGAGACTGCGGCAAAAGACCAGCAGGTCAGTCTGACCCAATCACCAGGTCACGCTCAAGTGGTCCCCGTCTGATCACCATTTGGCGGCCGCTGTGGCAGGTATCAGCTGATGCACCACTCCCGGGGCCAGGCAGGGTCCCCCGTCTGATCCTATTAGGCGGCTGCCGTGGTAGGCATCAGCTGATGCGCTACTCCCAGGGGCCGTCAGGTTCAGTAAGAGCTGCTAGGAGCCAGAGAAACTGGTGCGTGCTCTTTGGTAACCGTTATCAATACGGGATTCAAGCCTGATTGCGACCACCGCGAGATGACGGCAGAAACACACCCGGAGCGCTACATGTTTACATAACTTCGTCCTCACATAACATCGAGGTTATCACACCCTTTGTCACCACCCACTGTTTGAGGTGCCTGGCGCCAAATCACTTGGGTCTGAAAATACCACGCCTGAGCTGGCTTTGCATATCCTTATCCTACTTTCTTCTACCACTTGACCTGCATGCCAGCTTTCCCGTGTCTTGCTTTCAATGCTGCAGTTGGCACGGTTCCACCGGCGGCGTATCGTACGCGACGGCCGCTTGACAAGAAAAAAAACTGTTCAGGTATGAAACATCACACTGAAAAGCACGACCGAGTACGCATTCCGCCATGGCGCTGATGCGAGAGGCGCTGAAGCTGCACCACGAGGCCGGGTCCCATTCAGCCGTCACGGTGGCATCGGGTGTGCCACGCTCGGCTGGCTCCGAGCCGCCGGGTCACGACCCTCGGCTCCGGCAGGTGTGTCACTGGCACGCGACGCTCCCGTCTCAGTCGCTCGTCTCGCGGCCTCAGCAAGTCTGCCTGGTCACGTGGTCCCCGTCGTCCGCGAGAGCCTCGGATACGTTATCCGCATCGCGCCTCATACCCGGTCACGTGGTTTCCGCCACGTCCGGCTTCTCCGGCCACGTGGCCGCTGCACGCTTGACTGGACCGCCACATCCAACGCGCCGCTGTCAACCCGAGTGCGGGGTCGGCACGGGCACCCCATCGGCTCGGGGACGGCCGGTCGAACCGTGACCATACCGCTCTCGCTACCCTCCGACACAGGCCACCCAGGCGTCACTCGCCGTGGCGTCATGCCACACTGCATGCTATGCGCTGGTGGGCGTGACCGCTGATACGCGGGCGGACCATTTGGCGGCTTCTGATCGGCCGGACGGCAGTTGTACGTGCTTGTTAGCTTGAGTACATTTGCGTGCTTTCCTCGTGAATCCACGGCGTGGCCGACGCCCAGACAAATTGCGCGGCAGGATTGGACAGGACCATGTCCGATCTGAGCAGGCCAGGTCGTGCCCAGGCCGTCAGGTCGACTACGAGCGGCGCCGTGGCTGCCCTCAGCTCGGCTGTCGCCGTTCCCGATCAAACGTAACCACTGCACGGCGGTCCCGGTGATCGCAATGACAACAACGGAGAGGGCCACTGCGCGCCACGGCCTCGGCAGCCGGCCTCGGAGCCCTCCCACGGAGCCCCGCTCCAGGGTTAGGCGGAGCAGCCCGACCGAGACCCTGCAGCGCATCTGCCACCGGCGCCGGCAGACTGGTCATGGTCAGCAGAAGAGAGCAAAGGCCGAGCACACTGAGGTGCGGGGAGGGGGGGGGGGGGGTTCGAGATAGGGGTAGATATTAGTGGCAAAGGCAGGAGTCAGCTGTAGGGTCAGAAGAAGTGATAGCAATCAGAGGGACGGATCATGGTTAGGGGCAGGTGTCGGGATGAAATGAAGGGGTGGGGGGGGGGGGGGGGGGCGATACTCGAGATTGTACTCTGCATGTGGGCGGATGGAAGGCGTCAGTGGGGGAGTGGGATGCAGGGCCAGCGGCAGAGAATACAACTGGACAGAGGAGACAAAAGAGAGCCGCTAAAACAACTGGACCGCGGACGAGACGGAGCAAATCCGTGGTCAGGGGGCTACTGACAACAAACAGCTGCCTGATGCGTCAGGAGCAATATCATGGTGTTCGGAGGAACAAACAGGGCCAATGAGGGAGGCCGCGACTCAATACCAAGAGCCATACAAAATGCATTGAAGCTGAGCGAGACGTGACAGGGATGGATGGATGCGTGAATCAGGGAGAATAGATGGTGGTCGGTTAAGCAGCAGGAGCAGCACTCGAGACCACGCTCTTCATGTCACCTGCCTCCGGGTCACTCAGCAGGCGCATCTTCGGAGCTAACACGGCAATGATGCGGTATCGGTAGTTTTAGGTAGTGTAATGAGGTGAGAAGAGAAGAAGACAAAGCAGAGGTTGCAGGTAACAAGTAAAAGTCCGGAGATAAAATATGCAAACTGGCTGCGAGCAAGCAAGAGTAGGATACATGGGGTCGGAATCTGAGAACAGCCATGACTAATAATTTAAAGACGATGAAAGAAAAGGCTGGATAACGACAAGGGAAAGCCGGTGAGGGTAATAACATAGCAAATGTGAGAACCTATCTGGCGGAACGGGAACGGTGCTACGAAATAAACCACTTCACTGTCTGTAGTCTGCAGCTATTACATTCTTAGGGGCAGCTTACGGGCACATCGCATGATCGCAAGTACACGCTGCCGGCGTGGACGTGGAGGCTGCAAGGATGCCAACGTACCGTTAGCATATCATGCAGACACAATCAGGGGGCAGCCAAGAAGGGGCGATCCTCCCCTCAAGCCCGCATTATTATTTTTTCATGAAAGATGGCTCTCAACAGAAAGTTGAAAATCCGTCAGGTATGCAATGGACCACTTTCACTTTAAGGTCATTTAGGTTTCTTTTTTCCACTTGCATTTAAATTTCGGAGGTCATTTTAGTTCCATAGAAAGTAAAAAAAGACGGCGTGATACGTTGTCACTGAGCTCCGGGGCACTCCCGAAAAGTCTTCGATGCGCCCTTGAACACAATTGCGTCGTTTAGGCGACTAGAAAAATTAACCTTATGGTGTTGGAGACAATCGTTGATGCTGTAGACTAGATGAACTAAATTTAAATAATAAAATCAAACTTTGAAAAGTTTAATATCACCTTAAACATTGCCACGAGTTTTTAAAAGTATTGTAAAAATCAGACATCAAAGAACTATTTCATCCATAGAATATAGTGCAGTCGTTCACCTGGACCTGAATAGAGATTATCACCGTGTATTGGCCAAACTCCACTCCTTGTCGGGACCCCCTCCTACCTTGACCCGGGTCAGCCGGATCACTCCGCCAGGGTACGACCAATGGGAGAGGGTCTTGATGTGACGTCACATTGTGCATCAGCGTAACCTCTATCCCGGCGAGGTCGAAAGTCGGCATTACGGCATTATGGCCGGTGAAGAAAACGTGCATTTGACATCCCATTTCCACAGAATATTTTCAAATAACCCAGCAGGCTTTGCTGTAGAAAACTGGTCAGTAAAATGTGACTGAACCAGTCACAACGATTAAAAGCACACTTCGCACTGGCACCAATACTGGCAGCATCAAAAGCGGTGCCGAGACTCAAAAGGATGTCAATATTTTCCCCGTTTCCGAGCAGTCAGGATGTGAATTGTAGGTTGACGGAGACACGCCTCGGCCGGAAGCTCACCAGGGTGACGTTAGAGGCCACCTGCACCTCAACATCGCCGCGCCTGTTGATGTTGGTCAGACCCTCCAGCAGAGCCGTGGAGTAGGTGCGAGACGGCGGCAGCCTGGGGAGCAGGGTCATACATGTCAACCGGGCGTCTGACGGCTCTGCAGATCCACCGGCGCGTTGGTTGGGGTCAGTCTCAGAACAGTTCGATGGCGTGATCGGGGGTCAGTCTCAGTTCATTTCGTCGAGGTGATTGGAATGAGTCTCAGTACAGTTCGACGGGGTGATCGGGGGTCAGTCTCAGTGCAGTTCGGCGAGGTGATCGGGGGTCAGTCTCAATGCAGTTCGGCGAGGTGATCGGGGGCAAGTCTCAATACAGTTCGCACAGAGCGTCGGACACCGGGGTCCACCCGTAACTCCGCACTCACTGCCGTTTGTCGCGGCGCGCGCCGCCCGGCCGGGGCCGTTCCTCTGCGGCTGTCTCCTCCGGAGCGTCGAAGCCATCACCCTGCTCCTCCCCGGGGATGGCCTCCGGGTCAGACAGCATGCGCGCTTTCGGGGTCATTGCGGCGCTGATGCCGGCGGCGTTGGCCGAGTTGTCTCGGCCGCGAGTGTCATGCGCCCTGGCGGTGGACAGGGCGAGCTGTTAAAACGAGCGGAGGGAGGCGACATCGACGCCTTACCTGGGCTTCTTGTCTTCCCTCCCCCGAAAAGAGAGAGAGAGAGAGAGAGAGAGAGAGAGAGAGAGAGAGAGGAGAGAGAGAGAGAGAGAGAGAGAGAGAGAGAGAGAGAGAGAGAGAGAGAGAGAGAGAGAGAGAGAGAGAGAGAGAGAGAGAGAGAGAGAGAGAGAGAGAGAGAGAGAGAGAGAGAGAGAGAGAGAGAGAGAGAGAGAGAGAGAGAAGAGAGAGAGAGAGAGAGAGAGAGAGAGAGAGAGAGAGAGAGAGAGAGAGAGAGAGAGAGGAGAGAGAGATAGAAGAGAGAGAGAGAGAAGAGAGAGAAGAGAGAGAGAGAGAGAGAGAGAGAGAGAGAGAGAGAGAGAGAGAGAGAGAGAGAGAGAGAGAGAGAGAGAGAGAGAGAGAGAGAGAGAGAGAGAGAGAGAGAGAGAGAGAGAGAGAGAGAGAGAGAGAGAGAGGGGGAGTTGTCAAGACGTCAGCCATGTGGAAGGGGATTGTGATATCCCAGTGGAAACTGTTCCAGAAAGCCAATCAATAAATAAAGATATGCATCACATGTCTACTGGAACGATCTCTACTTTATAGTACACAATGTAATCTAGATGGTTACCACAACATAACATTAGACAAACGTTCACAGTAAGTGCACCTGCGTCCAAAACTAACATCTGAGATAAACTGCGGGCATCTTTCCACACAGGCTGTCAACTACTACCTATCTCATGGATTCTGGGCCATTTTGTCCACCCCTGTTACGGGACTTAAGCCGTTTAAGTCATCTATGCGTGACGACCCACGTCGCTCAAGTCACGAGCTTAACGGGCTTCACCCGCTTCGATCAGCTGGATGACCGAGCGTGGATGGCGTTTGGCGAGTTTCGTACCGTATAGCTCACGTCTCTCACGAAGTCTCTGTTTTTGAGCCAGGGTAGACAAAGTCCAGGCTGGCAGGCAGGCAGGCACACGGACTCCAGGCAAGCAGGCTGCCAGCCTACGTGACGGACGCCCATCATGAAAATGACTTATGGCACAGAATCCCGACCACTTTCACCGCTCGTGACCTCCGGCCGTTTAGATCACTCGCGTGAGAGAGCCCCGGCCGTTTAGATCACTCGTGTGAGAGAGCCCCGGCCGCTTAGATCAATCGTGTGACAGTGCCCCGGTCGTTTAGATCACTCGTGTGCCAGAGCCCCGGCCGTTTAGATCACTCGTGTGACAGAGCCCCGGCCGTTTAGATCACTCGTGTGAGAGAGCCCCGGCCGTTTAGATCACTCGTGTGAGAGAGCCCCGGCCGTTTAGATCACTCGTGTGACAGAGCCCCGGCCGTTTAGATCACTCGTGTGAGAGAGCCCCGGCCGTTTAGATCAATCGTATGACAGAGCCCCGGCCGTTTAGATCACTTGTGTGCCGGAGTCCCGGCCGTTTAGATCACTCGTGTGACAGAGCCCCGGCTGTCTACATCACGCACGTGACGGTTCCCCGGCTGTTCAGCCGGAAGTAGACGGGGTCCAGGCTGGAGGCCCGCATGTCCGCCACCATGTTGGTGATGATGCCATCGGCGAACGAGTTGAAGCGGGGATCCGGGATGTACAAGCCCTGGTATATCAAGCTGGGACCTGGAAGGAAGCCCCACAGTTACGGATCCCATACACTCAGGCAATGCCCGGACGGCTGTGGGAGAGGCTCGTCACTCGGGAAAGCGGCACCTGGGAAACCTGTGACCACCGCCTACATGCATAAGAACAAGGAACACGTGCGCGTGTGGCTTAACACTTAAGGAATCTGGAAAGCCGACGTAGTGAGTATAAATATTAAGCAGCGATAGACTTGATTACAAGCAGGACAACATATTGTACCGTAACTGTTATTATGGTTCAAACTCGCCATAAGGTCGAACGTCATATGGGGACCATGCGCCATCTCGTGGAAGCGTGAACCGGCTGCCGCTGGGGAATCACTGGCGGATAAGAGGAGGTCCGGATGCCTTGCCAAAATACCCCTCCGGAAATAGCGTACGTAACCGCTATTTGTCTTCAAGCTTTCTCATGTCATTCGGACTGTTTCGTCATGATTTCATAGAGTCTCACAGTACCGTTAAAACATGCTGGAGAGACATTTGCCATGTGGCCGGTTCCAGCCTTCGGCACAGAACGCCGCTTAGTTTCGGTGATTTGGCGAGGGGTGGTCGGCCCCGGAAGCCGGTGGGTTCCGTTACACGTGATCGCTTCTCGTGGACAGCGGATTGTTGAGCATCGGTATCGTCGTGCACCCAGAGGAAAGGAGGCAGCATCCGCTATATGGGCTCGGAGTACAGAATGGATTGCCGATATAGGTTGTGTCTAATCGATTTTCAGGACTGCAACCAGTGGTGTCTATGTCTACTTCCTGCCGCAGGCTTTTGCTGTTAGCTCACTAAACAATTACGTTTCGAGATACGCTGAGTACATGCCTTCCTCAAGTGGTAACTCACGGAAGAGAAAAGACTTAACAGCACCTACCATTCTTCCCGGGAAACAGGTTCTGGTTCTGTCTCCGCTTGCTGCCGCCGAAGAGTTGGCGCTTGCTGCGACTCTTGAGCTCGCTCTGCAGGCCGTCCAACCGGCTCTGACTGAGCCCCGCGACCGCTGAGAGCAGCAGCACTGCCGCCGTGGCGCCCCACACTAGCCGCATTGCTCCAACGGCTGCAACGGTCAGGGACGGCGCTCAGCAGACACGACCGGAGCCGCGGACAGCGCTCAGCAGACACGGCCGCAGCCGCGGGCAGCGCTCAGCAGATAAGGCTACAGCCACGGACAGCGTTCAGTAGACACGGCCGCAGCCGGGGGCAGCGCTCAGCAGACACGACAGGAGCCGCGGACAGCGCTCAGCAGACACGGCCGCAGCCGCGGGCAGCGCTCAGCAGATAAGGCTACAGCCACGGACAGCGTTCAGCAGACACGGCCACAGCCACGGACAGCGTTCAGCAGAGGCGGCCACAGCACCGGAAGATGCTCAGCAGACACGGCCACAGACACGGACGGCGCTCAGCAGACACGGCCACAGTTGCGGACGGCAATCAGCTGACACGGCCAGAGCTACGAACGGCGCTCAGCAGACACGGCCACAGTTGCGGACGGCAATCAGCTGACACGGCCACAACCACGGTCGGCGCTCAACAGACACGGCCACAGCTGTGGACGGCAATCTGCTGACACGGCCACAGCAATGGAATGCAATCAGCAGACACGTTCACACCATGGCCCGAAAGGTGCTGAGCAGTCACGATATGTTCAAACGACGCTCAGCATATAAGATACAGCCACATACAGCCTGGCGCGATACAAGACATACAATGTTTTCTTCAACTTTGATGGCGTTAACAAATCCTACATCCTGATTTGTGATACATTCTAAGATATCGCCCAGGCTTTCTCCCAGTCATAGTTAGGACATTCGTGAACACCAGTTATGTGCTTGAAGTACAAAGCCCTAACGCTGTCACGGCAATGCTTGGGTATTTTCAACGGAGCCAACGATCGCCTTCAGATTTAAGTGAGTTCCATTTTACCTTTGTGGTGTACATTGACCAACCAGGTCAGCAGCTGGTAAGTTGATCGCCGCGGCGCACCGTGCTAACGCTGTGGCTGTATCGCATTGCACAAGCCCTATGGCGGAGTACATGACGGCACTGTTGCGCCATTGATATTTTTACCAGCATTTTGGAGCATCCCAGAAACGTCATAGTTTTTAAGTTGCCGCAACCTGTGACCTGATTTGTATGTAAAGCCATGACATTGAGATAAATAATATCCATATTATGGAATGCAACCAACTGCATTTTTCCAACGGCAAGGCTGATGGGTCGATTGTGTTTTACACTTTTGATGGATTACGGGGAACCGGAGTATTTCATTTCACCTGGAGATCACGTCCTGTCCTCGAGATAGAAACAAACCAAGGCGAAAGGAAGCTTGTTGCACGCTGAACATGATGCGCTCGCTGCAACAATTGACATTTTTCGGTGACGTTTTGGGTATCGAATAACTCGATGTGAACTGTACTTCAAACAGTAAGCTGGAGGCCAATTTAGTCGAAATTTTCGTGAGTTTGGCACCAAATGTATCCCAAATAATGCAAAGCCCGATCGGCACAGCTGTCGTCGCAGCTGTCACCATTAACTGCAAAGACATCTCGCAATGATGCCTGAACGATACCTAGGACACGATGCAAGTGCAACATTTTCAATTTTGGATCTAATGAGAACCGCTTCCAACACAGGGGCTCGGTTACACGCGAGCTTGCGTTGGTGCAGTAAACGGATCGACGCAACCCCTCTTCCGCCGAAAGAAAGACAAACAATTCATTACATACTTAACTAGCGCAGTGGATAAACTTCGCGACTGCAATATAAAGTACAACAATCCGAACAAGGCGAATAGGAGACGCTAGAATCGACAGCATCACATCGGTTTTGACAGAGATGGGAAACCGCTTGTCTTTCCGCGCACGAAGGTGTGCCTACACGACTCTTCTCACTCCGACAATATGAAAAGGAGCCACTGGAGCCACAGAAATGCGTCTGTCTTCTGCCGTGACGTGCCGCCGCCTACCGCTCCCCGTTGGAGCCATAGAGATGCGTCTGTCTTCTGCCGTGACGTGCCGCCGCCTATCGCTCCCCGTTGGCGCCACAGATATACCCCTGTCTTCTGCCGTGACGGGACGCCGCCCACCGGGGTGAGCGGCGACAACGACGGGAGGACGTCACCGCCGCCCCCGACCGCCGGTTGCCGACCTGGCCGCCGGCTGCCGACCTGAACGCGCGCGGGCGCGAGAGGAGAGCGTCTGATCGGCGGCAGAAGTGTGTCAGCGGCGTGACGCCGCGCGCCGCCGCCCCAGTCAGTGACCCGCTGACACGGGCCGTCGGCCATGTGAGCAGGCGACGCCGGGCGGCCGCGGCCGGCCGGCGCCGCTGCACGAGCGGCCCGCTCAACCGCGACCTGTCGTGCCGGCCGCCAGACGCGGCCCGCAGGACAGCCGTGGCGCCTCACCACGTGCCGGGTCACCGGTGCCCTTGGTGTGGCTACTGCTCGCAAGACGGTGTGCGCGTAGGTTGGGAGACAGAACTGATGCTGAACTTCTGAAAGGATCTGATACAGCTTCAATTTTTTTCCCGTTGATACAGCTTCAATTTATGATGCTCATCCATGGCACGACTCTCGCAAAAATACCGAAGCAGGAGCGCTGATTTTCGACTTTGCACCGATAATACGCTGTTTTCTTGATATTTCTTCACGGCATACATTCGGGCTTACATCGCAGAGTGCAGCGCAGCTGGTCAAACTCAGCCGATGACAGTGGGGAAGTGACTGCTATGCCAGACGCAGCACATGCCTTCAGTGGCTGTCAATTGGTTCTTTATGTGCCCAGCAAAGCGGGCTCAATGAAATGTCTGATGTAACATACCTACGTGGGCACCTAGGCCTGATAGATACAAGTATGATAGTATGATACAACGTATGCCCAGGGAAACTCCTCGCTAGTATAGCATACCTATGTTGGCCTGAACACATGTGCAATGCAGCGTGCAATGCAGCGCACACACCGGGGTCCCGTTCTGAGCCGCGTATGGCGGCCGACCCAGCCTCATCTCTTGCAGCCCACGGACTGGACCAGTTGGCCAAACTGGCAACTGGCCAGCTGGTCAAGCAGAGGCGTCGTCAGGTAATGCGGTGTTGCATGCAATCTGGCCGCTTTTTATCGTAACGTTTTCAAAATGTAAGGCCTTTATGGCGAGCCATGCGCATAGCATTTTGCGGAAAAAAACGTTGACCCAAACAAGATCCGATGCAACGGAAATGTTAGGCATTCCATGAAATAACGAAATATCGAACCAAAACGACCCCTTGGAAAGTTCGCTTCCCTATGGATCTTGGCAATCCGTGGACAACTTTACGGATACAGTTTGCAAGGCCCAGTTCACCCTAGTCCGCACATGTTTCACACATTTCACTCAGCAGTGCGCATTGTTTACAGACGTCCGATCTAAAGCATAATATAGTGCAGACACTGCAAAAATGAAAATTCACGACATGTAGACTGTTTTTTATCCATTTCAGTGCATTTGACCCGCCTAATTACAATACAATCCTTTCTGGATGCGTGACTATCGGAGCTTTTGCGATCCTGTCAAGCTTCATCCATAGATGAACCCTAAATTCACGAATTTATGATACTCTTGATGAAATCTAGTAGCGGCACGTAACAATTTCATTGATTCAGTCCTCCCTGTCTATTCATCCATTTGTGTGTCACCCCTTATCTCAAAAGCAATAGCTTTTGAGATAAGGGGTGACACAGCATATTATAGTCTTTGACACGTTTACATTGAAGGATGAGGAGTGTTCTCAGACCATTGCCATCGCTGCAAATGGGTGTCAGAGCGCCTCCTTTCATCCCTTCGTGCTGCCGGCTCTTCACACTGCATTTCAGCGGATTGCAGATTTCAGCAGGACTTTTTTTAGTAGTGCGGCGCGTGCTGGTTGACAGACCATAATGCATGCTAAAGATCAGCTTGCGCACAAACGGATGCCAGCTAGCAACCAAGAGCGATTCGACGTGCAATAAATCATATATTAGATGCTACATTGCCCAAGGATATCGTCAGGAAAGGATTGAGTTGCATGAATCACGTACGGGTTAATACAATCAGTTCAGCTTCGGAGATTATTTCCGTCCTGTTAACCGAAAAGGTACAAAATCCAGAAAATGTACCATAGTTTAGGTTATTGATTGGTTCCCTTTTAGTATCCGGCGGTTGTGCCATGAACGACAACAGTGGCTACAGTCTTCTAAAGGTTGTCATAGATCAAAGTTGCATCTGGCAAATTCTGGATATTTTCGTCCACATAGGCCGCATGTACCAACAGACAACCAGAATACTTTTGGTATACTTGATTTGTATCCATAGCTGGCATGTGACCCGTCATGGCCAACGTCACATCGGTCAAATTAGGAAAATAAAACGAGGCAATGCCACTATATGCTTCACAACGTTCACGACAATATCGCTTTCGTGGATCGAACGTCTCTGACGTTCGAACTTCGGGCTCATCCAAGTTTGAACGAATGTAGAAGTTGATAACGCAACGTTGCATGGTTTGCGCTTGGTTTTCCACGCATCCAGCTGCTACGGTCCTCAGTGTCACAATCACCAACGCCGAATGGAGTGAGGAGCACCAAAAAGCATTACTGATAAGTTCTTACACTATTTTTTATTTTATCATTACTGACGAGTTCATTACGCTATTGAGTTTCGGAGCGCACACTCCATATGTTAAAAGTCAAGCATGCGATACTGAATGGATGACCACTCAGGAAATGTCTTAGAAACAAACGCCGTGCATGCCCACGCTTAGCCCCGCAGTTATGACCGGCTTAAAATGAAAAATGGAAAAATATAAATATTGAAAAATATAAAAACCCGATAGGATAACGAAGCAGACTGATATCACTGAACATGCGCTATTTAAAAATCAGCATATTTTAACGAGTTCCGGTAAATTTGTTACAAAGTCAAGTACAAGGTCAGTTTTTCTCGTTCTAGGATATCACTAGCAACACAAGACATCAGCCTAGGGCTGATAATCTCTTAGCCCTCGGCCAGCGGAAGCCGAAAGTCTTCGTAACAATGTCCTACAGCGTA